GCCTACAGAGTCTGCCTGCCTCCTCCTACTCAGCTGCCCTACCACTGGGGGGAGGCAGCAGGTGGACAGTTTGCGCAGCGCGGAGCCTGTGTGCACAAAAGCCACCGCATCTCTCCCAGGAGAGACACGTGGCTCTGGTGCGCTGCAGGCCCCGTGGTTAGTGCCCTCTCAGCGGTGACACCCAGGGCGGCCTGCCCCTACTGCACCCCCTTGCTTCGCCCCTGACTACATTAGCTTTAGTTTCAGTTGGTAAGGCTCGAGGATGTGGACAAGGTGCTTGGATCAGTCAAGGCGACCACTTGCGCTCTAGACCCCTGCCCCTCTTGGCTGATAAAAACCAGCAGGGAGGGAACAGCTGGCTGGGCCAGGGAGGTGATCAATGCCTCTTTACGAGATGGGGTGGTCCCTGCCTGTTTGAGGGGCGCAGTAGTAAAACCACCCCTTAAGAACCCTTCCCTGGATTCAGAAAACCTAACTAACTACCGGCCAGTTGCTAATCTCCCTTTTCTGAGCAAGGTTCTGGAGCGAATAGTTGTGGACCAGATCCAGGCACTTTCGGAAGAAACTGATTTTCTGGATCCATTTCAATAGGGGTTTGGGCCTGGTTTTGGCACAGAAACTGCTTTGGTCGCCCTGTATGATGACCTCTGTCTAGAGAGAGACAAGGGAAACATGTCCCTGTTAATTCTTCTTGACCTCTCAGCAGTTTCAATACCATTGACCAGGTATCCTTCTGAAGCGACTCTCGGGGGGTTGGTGGCACTGCTTTGCAGTGATTCCAGTCCTAATTAGATGGTTGTTCCCAGAGGGTGTTACTTGGGGAATGCTTTTTAGCCCTGTGGAACCTTCAATGTGGGGTTCCACAGGGTTCAATCTTATCCTCCATGTTGATTAACACCTACATGAAACTGCTGGGTCATTTTTATTTCCTAGGACTGCCAGTTATTAACTAGGGTTGAAATCCTAGGCACATCTGCTGAAGAGCAGTGACACAGAAACATAGGAAGCCGTCTTATAGTAAGCCAGACCATGACTAGTCCAACAAAGTTGATGTTGAAGAATCATTGCTTCGACACTGATGATCTTTGCTTCTCCCAGGACACTGGCTTTAGTTCTCCTGTCTTCCCAGGTGATGTGTAAAAAATTTCAGAGACACCATTGATAGAATCTTTCACGGAGCTGGAGATGGCTTGCCCATTTTGTCTTTTCTCGGTTTCTCATTATTCAGTTCTTCACATCAGTTTGCCAATAAAAAAACAACAATGGATTTTTGAGTTCTTCTCCAATATATGCATTGTATTTTTAATACTGCACAATATTTGGTTGGAGAAAAATTAGAAGGGCAAATTTCAATAGATAGTCACTGTCTGTTTGCATAATGTTTTTGGGAGGGCAGGTTTGCATTAAAATGCGAATTGAATTTCTCCTCCCCCCTACTTAGAAGTAAGCTGTTTTGAACAGTGCAATTTATTTCTGAATGGTGCAGGATTGGGGGGCTGCCTGTCACCTATTCTTTTCCTCCTCCTGAAATTTAGAAGGTAAAGTAATTCTTATCCTAGTGGTGAGGAAAACTTTGTCTATTTAATTTTTATGATGCTTTGCTGTTAAGGGGCTGGACACTTAAAATATATATAACTGTTTGCAGAGGGTATGAAAATGTTTGTTTTTTCTCCTGTCTGTTTGTAGATATCCCCTCTATGTTATATGTCTAGCAATCTGTCTATGCCTGAAACCCCCTAATCCATTTCCTTCTGCTGAGACCAAATATATATTATAGCCAGCCCCATTTATCCAGGAGTCTAGACACCCCAAAGTGTTTGTCTCTTGGGTAAAAGAAATAAGAAAAAGTGCAGAATTCAGATTTAAATTCACACTTCTGCATTTTAATGGAAAAACCCCTGCTACTGTGGAACTGAAAACTATCAGTGAAACCCCCAAATGAGTTTGATTTCCTCTGGTAAACTTATCTTACAAACCTGTAAGAAATGCTAGAAAGATTCTAAGATTATCCAAGATGCTATTAATGCAACATATTTTGTTCTGCCATGAGAACTCATGGTTGCCATTATCTGAAAGGTTAAACAGGCATTTCTCATGGATTTCCTCAGCACTGAATGCATGTCAATACAGTGGTGCCTCGCAAGACGAAATTAATTCGTTCCGCGAGTTTTGTCGCCTTGCGATTTTTTTCGTCTTGCGAAGCACAGTGTCGGAAAAGTTTTGGAAAAGCTTCAAAAATCACCAAAGTCTTCAAAAACCTCAAAAAAGGCTACCACACCGTGTGCTATGAGTTGCTCCTCGAAGTCAAGTCGCAACTGTATTAACGGTATTAAGAAAAAGGAAACAAACTTGCAAGACGTTTCCGTCTTGCGAAGCAAGCCCATAGGGAAAATCGTCTTTGCGAAGCAGCTCAAAAAACAAAAAACCCTTTCGTCTTGCGAGTGTTCCGTCTTGCGAGGCATTCGTCTTGAGAGGTACCACTGTATCATCTGAATCATACTTACTCATGGGCTGTGGTCCGACCTAATACATGGTTTATACTGGCCACCTAACTTCATATGGCAAGAACCAGTGTGGCGCAGTGATTAGATTGCTAGACTAGGACTAGGGTTCAAATCAATTGGGTGGCCTTGTGCCAGCAACCATCTCTCAGTCTATTTACTTCACAGAGTTAGGATGCAGGTGGCACTGTGGTCTGAACCACTGAGCCTCTTGGGCTTGCTGATCGGAAGGTTGGCAGTTTGAATCCCCACGATGGAGTGAGCTCCTGTTGCTCTGTCCCAGCTCCTGCCAATCTAGCTGTTCGAAAGCACGCCAGTTCAAGTAGATAAATAGGTACTGCTGAGGCGGGAAGGTAAACAGCATTTCCGTGTGCTGCTCTGGTTTCCATCACAGTGTTCTGTTGTGCTAGAAGTGATTTAGTCCTGCTGGCCACATGACCCGCAAAGCTGTCTGTGGACAAACACTGGCTCCCTCAGCCTGAAAGCGAGATGAGTGCCGCAACCCCATAGTAGCCTTTGACTGGACTTAACTGCCCAGGGGTCCTTTACCTGTACCTCACAGAATTATTGCAGGGGTAAAACAGGGAGGCGTTGGGAGGGGGGAACCATGCATGCCACCTTGAGTTTTCTTGGTGGAATGGTGTGATATAAATGTGGCAATAAATAAAAGATAGACACCTCATTCAGGTATACCAACTCTACGGGGCTGAGCCTCTACAGCCCCTTCCCATGTCCACTGGGACAGGGCTCAGCCCCCCAATCGTGAGGGGGCAGAGGAGGCCTGCTGGTATGTTGCCCTGGGCTGTGCAGCATTGGGAAACGCTCTGCAGACCAGCGCAGCTTGGCACACAAGTGTGCATCGGGAGGAATGCTTGGTCAGCCTCTCCCAAATGCGACAGTCATCACGCACGCAATGTGCATCGCATGTGTGATATCAGCCCCCCCCCTTTAATGTTGGGCGCAACTCAGCACCTGTGGTCTCAAAAAAGGCTCCACCCTCTCCCTCTGAGAAATAAGAAGGCAAACCCCCAAGATTTGCAGAATTTTGTTATTTATTTTTTAAAAAGCAAAGCTGAATGTAGGTTGGGAAGTACATGGAAAAACTAGAGGAGAGAGGGGAGGGGTATCCTGGAAGAGGGTGCCTGAAATAGTGAACAGCAGCACTCCACTCTGTAATATTTTGTTGCAGAGCTCCTTTGTTGTCCACTTGCTGGATGTGTGGATTTGACCATTTTGATTTCCTGTCTACCCCCCTTCAGTTCCTTTACACCTTCTCACCAGTTTGTGATTTAAAAAAAAAGAGTCCTAATGAAAAATTCATCTGCCTATTAGTGTGAATTCATCCTAATACGTTTCTGTTATGTGATTTTGCCTAATTTTTGCCTGGTGTACCCTCACACAATGCATTTTTGAATGCTATTTTCAGGTTTATATGCATTTTTACACTACTTGGCTGCACTGCCCTATTTGCAGGAGAAATCTTGAAAGGGTGGTTGTGTTTCGGCTGGTGCATTTTTGGAAAGGGAAGATTAGGTAGGTTCGCCTTAAAATGTGGACTGAGTCAAATTTCTCCCTAGCCCTCTTCTTGTGACCCTTTTCTAAGGGTGTTCCTTTGTTTTATTTTTGGTCTTCTCCACTGTTATCCGTTGCCATTATCAGACAGCGACAGGCAGCCCTGAGGTCTTTATTCCTCTGGCCTCTCTCTGTGACATTTCTTCAGTACTGTATTTACATGTTTTGAAGAAGAAGAAGAAGAAGGGGAAGAAGAAGACAAGGTTCATTGATGGAACTCAACAAGGATGCGCATCTGTTTCACTGCAGTAACAGGCTACTTGTCAGAAATCTCAGATCTTTGTCACATAGAAAACAGCTGTCCGGCTTCAGGGACTCGGGAGAAATGGATCTGGTTCTCTTGGGCGAAATACAACGTGAGAAATTATCAGTGAGATAGTGGGGGTTTTGCTGGGGAAGACCCGGCCAGCAATCCACCACCCACCCGCACCCCTTGCGAAGCACAGTGCTCTTCCGGCTTTGATCCTTCCCCCCCCCCCCCCCCGCACTCAGGCTTTCGGCATGGGTGGGAGCGAAGAGGCGCGGTGGACCGGAGACGCCCTTTTGTCGCGGCTGTCGCCGGTCCCCTCAGGGCAAGCCCGCCCGGCAAACCCCAAACCACGCGCGGCTCTCTTCTGAAGCTTAGAGGTGGAAGTAAAATACTGTAAACGAATTGGCGCCTCCTCTCTCTTCTCCTTAGCCCCGCCGCCCTTACCACAGCCAACCCGGTCCAAGGGAGGGCTCCTGCGACCTGTCTCTCTTTCTCCCCGCCAGCACCCGTTTACACTCTGGCCTCTCCTCCTCCCCCCGCCCCTACTCCTCTCCTCTACCTCCCCCGCCCTCTCCACGCAGGGCCTGCCTTTTTGCGACTCTCGTGCGCCACCCTGGCCCTCAGCCGCGTCCCGCCCCCTCTCCCTCCCACGCGTCCCGGCGCGCTCCTCACCCTCCGCGCCGCCGCCTCCTCTGCTCCTGCCGGCGCCTCTCGTCCCTATCTTTCTCGGAGGCTGCAACGAGCGCCCGACCGCCTGCCTAAGGAAGCCGCCGCCGCCTGAAAGCGGGCATCTGCGCCGCGTCGACCCGGAGCTCCCTCTCCGCACCGTGTGCCCTAGCCGTGCGCTCCTGCCTCCCCGCCGAAATGACCGCGAAGCTTTGGCGCCCCCGCCTCCTCCTCCTCGCCGCTGTCGCCTTGGTTGCCCTGAGCGGGAGAGGTAAGCAGGATCGGGCTCCCGGTAGGGTAATCCACCAGCCCATCCCGCCCGCGTTGCGCTTTCCCTCAAGTATACTGGGAGAGGATCCCCCCTGGCCATCGAAGCTCCTCTCCCCTTCTTTCTCTCCGGCTTGCCTGAACTAGTAGACCGGTCGCCTCCGCGCTCCTTTTGTGTCCATCGCTCCTGCCTGCTGCTCCTGCTTATTCTTCTCCTCACGTCCCGCGGCTTGGGAGACATACGGCAGGATATGGGGGGCTCCGTGCCATGCTTGTCTGGGTTGGGCTGTCTGCATCGTTGCGCATGATCTCTCTGCCCCCTCCCGGTGGCTGGATGCACCCAGGCCTCACGGATGCAGATGAGTCCCTCCCGCACCCCCGCTCTGCACACACACACACACGAATAATAATATGTAATTGAATTATATAAATAAAAGATCAGGTGAGACTAAACGCATTTGGCTGGCGAAGCGGCTGCGGGCCTGCCTAACCATCGGCGCAGACCCGCCCCCCTCCCCTAACCTCTATTGTGGCTCGCGGCGTGCTCTGCCTGGGCTGCATAAAGAGCTGGCGGGGCGCGGAGTGGGGGGGGGGGAGAGGACTGCAGATCACACCAGCTTTCCAAGCAAGGGCGAGATTTGGCTCTTCTAAGCCCCCTGGGGAAGGGCCCCGCTAATCCTCCAGGGGATGGGTGGGCGTGACAAATCAGTTCAAACTGCGTTGGACTGAAACGTACCCAAACGGAGAGCAGGAGCTGCAGCCTTTTGTAGCATCGTTTATCTTTGCAGCCCTGTCGCTCCTGTGGGACTCATTCACCCCTTCCACTATTATCCATTGCCTCCCTTTTTTTCTTTTTAAACAGCAGGGGATAATTTTCTGATAAAAGATCACAGTGCACCCCAACCTGTCTTTTGGGCCATCCTCAGAGGAGGGGTGGTCGGGAAGCCCCCCAAAATAGCGCCTAATAGGAATCCTTTCCCTTACTGAGAGAACCAATAGATCCACCATTGAGCTTGAGTGAAGCCCAGCAGCCCCCGCCCACTAGACTGGGTTCTCCTGTGTGGGATGTGCCTGCTTTCATACCTCCCGCCCCCCGCCCTGCGCTCCAAAAATACTGCTTGAGAATAAATATATTTTCAATCTTGATTTAACCTCCACTTTGTGAGCACTTTGGAGGAGCTTCCTCCATACTGACCCGCTTTTTCTCCCTCTTTAGTATTCCTCCTTTAAGAACACTGTATGTACGCATCCTCATGTTTCTGTAAGCATTAGAGAGTCAGCAACACATGTTATTATTCCCTCCCCGATACTTAAATAATAGGTAGTTTTGGTCAACTATCTAGTCAACTGACTTGGCATAGAGAAATGCCGGTACGGTGCACGCCCCTCCAGTATCAAAGGACTGTAGGGCGTTTGAGGGTCTGCAGTTTAGCTAATCCACACACCCCCATGTTCTCCTCTGTGTCACTTACCACTGGTTCATCTTATATCCCCAGTGTGCCATACAGGTCCACTTCAGCTCATACAGATCAAGGATCTTATGCACATTTACCTAGGAATAAACATCATGGTCTGGCTTGCTTCTGAGTAAAAAGCATGTGTCAGATTGAGTGTAAATTTGAGACCCGAAGTTGTCCCAAATTTTTGTGTTGTGCCCAAATAGCAACCAGTGGGACAAGGAATAAGGGTTATTAGTAGAAACTGTTTGGAAGAACTCTCTGCAGGTAATAATTGTTTGGTCTGTCAGCTAGCATGAAATGTCACAATTCGCTTTAGTGTTTTGTTTTTTAAAAAAACTGCTTCAGGATGAGCTTATGAATAGAAGGCGTGCTATGTTTCACATATTTTGGTGTATATGTAAAATGGTTCATCAGTGTACAGTTAAGTGCTTCACAACTGGAACCACTCTTAGGCCTTGAAATAGTCCTGTAGGTCCATTTGGTACAGAACTGGCAGCTACATCACCATCATCATCATCATCATTAATTTATGACCCGTCCATTATCTAAGGTCCCTGGACGGGCTGCCACAATCAAAACACAGTGTGAAAAAACAGTTTGAAAACAACTTACAGTCACAGAAATAAGGCGGGTCCCAAAAATACACATCTCAAGTGTCAAAAAAGCCCAAGAGTCTAAGAGTGTGTCTTCAGCATTTGATGAAAACTATACAGTGGTACCTCGCAAGACGAATGCCTCGCAAGACAAAAAACTCGCTAGACGAAAGGGTTTTTTGTTTTTTGAGCTGCTTTCTAAGACGATTTTCCCTATGGGCTTGCTTCGCAAGACAGAAATGTCTTGCAAGTTTGTTTCCTTTTTCTTAACACCGTTAATACAGTTGCGACTTGACTTCGAGGAGCAACTCATAGCACGCGGTGTGGTAGCCTTTTTTGAGGTTTTTGAAGACTTTGGTGATTTTTGAAGCTTTTCCAAAACTTTTCCGACACCGTGCTTCGCAAGACGAAAAAAATCTCAAGGCGACAAAACTCGCGGAACGAATTAATTTCGTCTTGCGAGGCACCACTGTACAGTGAATGTGCCAGGTGGACCTCTGGGGAGAGAGGTCTACAACTAAGGGGCTACTACAGAGAATGCCCTCTCTTAGGTGAACAGCCCCCTAAGTTTTCAGAAGGTGGTAGAACAACCAAAAGGGTCATCCTCTGCTGATCTTAACACCTGAGAGGATCTGTAAAGAAGGGGAATATTTCAGGTGTTTGAGGCCTGAGATGTTTAGGGCTTAAAACAAGTTGCTTGTGTTTCTGAATCTCAACCATAATGATTGACGTGGAAACTTGCAGAACATGCCCAGCGTTTGTGATACACAACAGTTGGATTAGACCAAGGGTGGCTGTCGTTCTCCTTTGCACTCCAGATGTTGGTGGACTACAGTTCAGTCGTAGAACACCTGCTTTGCATTCAGAGTGTTCCAAGGTTCAATCCCCAACATCTCAAGTTAGGGTTGGGGGAGGCTCCCTGTCTGAAATGGGTAGACACCACTGAGCAAGATGGGCAATGAATGGTCTTACTTAGGCCACTTGCTATGTTCTAGCAGTGCCCATCATTCCTCACCGTTGGGCATGTGAGCAGGGGCTAATGGAAGCTGGGAGGGGAGTTCAACCACATTTGGAAGGCAGCAAGGTCCACCTAGTTTGGTATTTTCCGCTCAGTAGTGGCCAGCCAGGTGTCTCTCAGAGCTTAAAAAAAAAAAGGACTTTGAAGGTGATGGCCTGAACAGTGGGGGGAACAGACCTGGGAAGGTGGATGTTCTATTTAGCCTCTTGCCCACAAATTTGTCTAAGACTGGGAACCTGCGACCCACAGCCAGCATGGCCAGTATGTAGGGATGATGGGAACTGCAGTCCAGCAACATCTGGAGGGCACCAAACTCCCCATTCTAGGTCTACGCTATCTAAGCTAGTGTCGCTCAATTTCTCGTGTGCAGTAGTAATGTGGAATCTGTGGTCCTCCTGTTGTCCTTGGGCCACAACTCCCATCATTTCTGACCTTTGGCCATGTTGCTGTGGGGCTGAGCCCAGTCACATCCGAAGGGCTTCACACCTGTGACATACAAGTCAACTTTGTGTTGTAAAAAAGAACCATTTTCTTCCTTCCCAGTCTGTTTTGCTGGGTGGACCCAAGTTTTGTTATCATGATAGAGAAGTTGAACACTATCTCTTTCAACCATTCATAATTTCATAAGCCTCTGTTGTGTTCTTGTCTGCCCCCAGCCCTGATGCTCTAGCCTTTCTTCATAAGAAACAGATTCTTGACTAAGAGCTTAAAAGTGGGGACTTGGAAACCCATGATGGGAACCTGGAAACCTCTTGAACAGCCCTGCTGGGTGTGCAAGTCTGAGAGATAGGGAAGCAAAGATGGTCTACAGAGCTAGTTCACTGCACGGCTTTCTAAAGTTTGTTCAACCTTCAAACCATAGGAAAAGCTCTGAAGGCTACTCCAGCCAGGTTATTCTTGCTTTGTAAGAGGTTAAGAGCCTCTCTCCTTACAGCAGGTAGAATATTTGGATGAAGAGGAATGGATATTAAACATTGCAGAAGAACTGTTTTTTAATTGTACCTCTTAGTGGGCAACAGATTAGTAGAACTGGCATTTGACATCCAAATAATTAGTTGCATTTACTTTTCTTAATTAATACTTTGCTAAATTATTTCTAGTGCACAGCACAGGGAGCATCTGAAAATCGGAATCAAACTTTGTGTGGGTCATTTTTTTGTTTTTTAAAAATCCCCTTATTCATCTCTGTCCTCCTGCCAGCTCCAAAGCTGCATTGCCTACCTAAGCTAGTTCTTTTTCAAACTGGCATTTGTTTTAAAAGTACACAAAAAGCAAGGGGAAAGCTGACTGTGTAGACAAAGTGGTAGTAAACAAAGGAGAACCAGTTAAGCTAACAACAATAGGGAGAATCAGTGAACTCCCCAAAATGGGTTTTCATGGCAGATTAGGAGAGAGTTCACTAAACAGAATGAAATGGGCAGGCAGGGAATTCCTTGCACAGATAGATGTTCAATTTGGCTGAGGAGCCCAGTGGGACAAGGCATGATAAGTTACTCTGGATATGTTAAATATATAGGTACACCTGTGTTTCCCCTCCAGCTTAATTCCGTCTCGCTAAGCTTGCAAACAATTCCACAAACAGTTGTTCTTCCACTGCAATACAGAAGCAAAAACCGACTTCAAGATATGCTGCCAACCCACACATAATCAACAAAAGGTGTGGTGGCACATCAGAAGCCTGAAATAAACAGAGGTGCGAGTCTCTCCAAATTTATGAAAACATTGGTCTGGATGCCTGGAAGCATCTTGTATATTGCAAGTAGGAGACTAGGTATACAGTGTTACCTTGGGTTACCTTGGGTTACAGATGCTTCAGGTTACAGATGCCTCAGGTTACAGACTCCGCTAACCCGGAAATGCATGGGGCCCACTGATAAGAGCCCTCCTGGATTTCTCATTACTTCAAGAATTCATATACGACTTAATTACAGTA